AAGAGAGGAAAAAAAAAAAGGCACAAAGAAGTCAGATTCAGCAACCTTGCTCTGATACCATATTTGCGGAAAAAGAAGAAACAAGATGAAAAATAATCTGTGTATATCTTTTAGAGGATAAGATATAACCTATTTATAACACACTGTTAAACAGCCAGCTATATAAAGTCAATGACAACTATACAATCCTGAATTAATTTTTAGAGATCCTACCTACCACACAAAATAAGGAAACTAATTAACTAATTAAAAGATACAAACAAATAGTCAATATACGGTAACTACAGCTCAGCAATACAGCTGTAATGCCAATTAGTGAATAATTCTGCTTAATTCTAACAGCAACGTACTCCGTTTCTATGGTTGAGTCAGCAGTACAACCCTGCTTAACACTCTTCCAATTAACTGCCCTTCCATTGAGTTTTAACACATATCCATATGTAAATATCCTTGCATATAGATCAAATTGGAAATCAGAATCCGTATATCCGATTGGAACCAGATCATCACCTCCATAAATGAGCATGAGACTCTTAGTTCTGCTAAGGTATTTTAAGATATTCTTCACAGCTGACCAATTGTCAAGTCCAGAATTGGACTGATATCTATTGACAATCCATATATAATAGCATATGTCCGGTTTGGTATAGACCATGGCATACATGAGACTCCCAACTGCCGAAGCATATGGTATCCGCCTCATTTGCTCAATTTCCTCATCAGTCTAGGGAGGGACTGGTCATTGGAAAGAGCCAATCTATGTCTAAATGGTAAAAACCCTTTCTTAGAGTTCTCCATTCCAAACCTGGTCAGAACTTTATCAATGTAAGACTCTTGAAACAAGCCTATTTTCTTTTTAACCCGATCTCGCAAATGCCATGATAAAGATAGAGAGCAATTGTATACGACGGCTCTCGCAACATATTTCAACCTATCGTCGATTCGGTTCAAGTCTTAGTTAGTTAAATGTCCATCCATAATTACCGACTTTGAATCATTTATGATTACTATTTATAACCTTGTATTAATTGCCATCACATACATATATAAATATATCTTGTAATTAAGTTGACACAATCAATTCCATAATAAATCGAAAAATAATACATTACATTCACCCATTGTATAATGCATTAATAATAATATTCAGATAAAGAATAATGACTTTAAAGCAACAATTTGCTATACTAGGGCATGCAAATCCCAACACTCTTCTACCGTTTGTTCAACTTAAATTCTTGAATTCAAAACTAGGGTTTTATGTCACAGTATCCCAAACCCAAGCCAGAAAGCGGAAAAATATGTCATTTCGACGAAAATTTGATGCTCGGGCCTCATCGGGGCCTGGAACTAGATGTTAAAAAGTTTTTCTGGGAGTTGGAGAACCAAGTTGTTCTTAGGCATTTTGTTATACTAGGAAAAGGCACGTGCGATGCACGTGTTGAATGTTTTGTAGATAATGTAATAGAGTTTTATAGAAAATAAAACAGCCAATTTATGGTAGATTTTATAAAATTTATTTTATTTTCTTTAAATATTTTATTGTTTAATTATATTTTCTTTTATTAAAAAAACTCATAATAAATAAATAAATAGGTAATATGTGTTAGAATTTGATAGAAATTCTTTTAAAAACTCTTTATATATCAATTAATAAATATTTTTTTATATTAATAATTTTTGTCTAATTAGATTTCAATAAATAAATAAATAGGTAATTTGTGTTAAAGTTTAATAGAAACTCTTTTAAAACCTCTTTTTATATGAATTAATAAATAATTTTTTATATTAACAATACTTGTTTAATTAGATTTCCTTTTATTAAAAAAACTCAAAATAAATAGATAAATAGGTAATTTGTATTAGAGTTTTTATAGAAAATCTTAAAATATATATTTGCCTAATGTATTACAATTTTACTAAAAATAAAATAGGTAATTTGTGGTAGAGTTTTTCTAGTCTAATTAGATTTTCTTTTATTAAAAAAACTTATAATAAATAAATAAATAAGTAATTTGTGTTAGAGTTTAATAGAAATTCTTTTAAAAACTCTTTTTATATCAATTAATAAATATTTTTAAATTTTAATAATTCTTGTCAAATTAGATTAGCTTTTATTAAAAAAAAAAATCATAATAATAAGAAGTTTGTGATAGAGTTTTAAAAAAATTATTTAATTTTTCATATCAATTAAAAAATATTTTTTATATTAATAATTTTTGTCTAATTAGAATTTCTTTTAGTAAAAACTTGTAATAAATAAATAAATTGGTAATTTGTGTTAGAGTTTAATATAAACTCTTTTAAAAATTCTTTTTATATCAATTAATAAATATTTTTATTTAATAATTTTTGTCTAATTAGATTTATTTTTATTGAAAAATTCATAATAAATAGATAAATTGGTAATTTGTGTTAGAATTTTTTATAAAAACTCTTTTGAACCTCTTTTTATATCAATTAATAAATAATTTTTTTATATTAGTAATACTTGTCTAATTAGATTTTCTTTTATTAAAAAACTCACAATAAATAGATAAATAGGTAATTTGTAGAATTTTATAGAAACTCTTTATTATGTATATATTAGTGTTTATATATATATTTTTTATAAAAATAAATAAATACTGAAACTCTTTGCACATCTAATAATAGTATAAATAAAAATTATTTTTAATAAATACTGAAACTCATGAGCAGAGCTTCTGTATTTTACTCTGTAATTTTAGATTTATATAATTCTCAATTTATCTACTCCTTCCTCCGTGCCTCTATTTATAGGCTTTTTGGAATAATATGATTATGACATATATCCTTTTCTGACAATGACATAATCATAACACGGTGGGCCGGTTATATTGTGATAATTACCCATAAAAAAATAACTATTCTTTTTATATTGAACTAAAAATAAGAGTTTTATATAGAATGTGATTGATTTTATTAAGTAATTTTTAGAGTATTATAGAAACTATTTTTACAAAAATTATTTTTATATCAATTAATAAATATTTTTTTATATATATAAATAAATACTAAAATAGAGAAACACTTTGCATGATTTTATTAGATAATTTTCAATTAATAAATATTTTTGATTTTGATAATTGTTGTCTAATTAGATTTACTTTTATTAAAAAAAAAACTCATAATAAATAGATAAATAGGTAATTTGTACTTAAATACTGCACATCTAATAATAGTATAGATAAAAACTCTTTTTATATCAATTAATAAATATTTTTTTATGTAAATAAATAAATACTGAAACTCAGAGTTTCCGTATTTTACTCTGGAATTCTAGATTTCTAGAATTCTCAATTTCTGTACCCATTCTCCTTTCCTCCATGCCTCTATTTATAAGCTTCTTAGATTAATAAGATGATGACATGTGTCCTTTTCTGATAATTACATAATCATAACTGGGCTGGACCGGTTATATTGTGATAATTATCTATAAAAAATAACAATTCTTTTTATATTGAACTAAAAATTAGAGTTTTGTATAGAATGTGATTGATTTTATCAGGTAATTTTTAGAGTTTTATAGAAATTATTTTTACAAAAACTATTTTTATATTAATTAATAAATATTTTTTTATATAAATAAAAAAATACTGAAATATTAAAACACTTTGCATGATTTTGTCAGATAATTTTCAATTAATAAACATTTTTTATTTTAATAATTTTTATCTAATTAGATTTACTTTTATTAAAAAAAACCTCATAATAAATAGATAAATATGTAATTTATGTTAGAGTTATATAGAAACTCTTTTAAAACCTCTTTTTATATCAATTAATAAATAAGTTTTTATATTAACAATACTTGTCTAATTAGATTTCCTTTTATTAAACTCATAATAAATAGATAAATAGGTAATTTGTACTAAAGTTTTATAGAAACTCTTTAAATATATCTTTGTCTAATGTGATATAGTTTTATTGAAAATAAAATAGATAATTTGTGATAGAGTTTTATAGAAATTATTTTATTTTCTTTAAATATATCTTTGTCTAATTATATTTAATTTTACTAAGAAACTCATAATAAAAGCTAATTTATGGTAGAGTTTTAGAAAAATTATTTTGTTTTATATATCAATTAATAAATATTTTTATATTAATAATTCTTCTCTAATTAGATTTTCTTTTATTAATAAAATTCATAATAATAAATAGATAAATAGGTTAATTTATGGACCATTTGATCAAGCACAATTGATTATAGATTGAATTTTAATTTTATTAGGTAATTTTGAGTTTTATAGAATTTATATCGTGGGATATAATAATTAATGAGAGCTCTTTATTGTGAATTAAACTCTTTTTATATTTTGTTAATTTAAATTTTATTAGGTAATTTTGAGTTTTATAGAATTTATATCAATTAATAAATAATACTAAAACTCTTTGCACAAAGGTCGAGAAAGTACTACAACACTTGAACTTAGCCAAAAGACCAAGAAAGGTTAGCCAAAAGGCCGACCCAAAAAAATTTAGTACTACACTTGATCTTAACCAAAAGGTCGAGAAGGTGTGATTATTATTTCTTTAATTCTATAGTTTTATAAGAGACTTTCATACAATTCTTTTTACTTAAAACCAATGTGGGACTTTGTAATTTAAATTAAACTCTTTTTATATTTTGTTAATTTGAATTAATTTTAAATTAAACTCTTTTTATATTTTGTTAATTTGAATTAATTTTAATTTTATTAGATAATTTTGAGTATTATAGAATTTACATCAATTAATAAATAAATACTGAAATAATGAAATACTGAACACTTTGCACATTTAATAATAGTATAGAATAGATATAGATATGGAAGCTTCGTCTAGTACAACCTTGGTTGTAAATGCTGCTTAGTTTTCGGACAATAATTGTACCAAGAAATTGATGTCTATGCACCAATACTAAAAGATTCAGTTGTTTAATTTAGGCCGTTTATCTTGATATTTAGCAATCCATGATTGTTTAACTAAAGAACATATATCCACAAGCATTCTCTTAAAATTCTGCACCAACTAAAAAAAATTCAACGGCAGAAACTTTACTACAGACCTCCATTTTTTTTATCAGAAAGCCATGGATCCTCATCGAGTTCAAGAAATTTATTCACCCACTCTAACCCGTAGGTGCCTTCACTCGAGAAATCAAAGAATTCATTTGCATTGAAGCTAGGATCCATGTATCCGCTTCCATCAATGCCTTCTTTGTCGGCCTCATGGATGGCCACAGTTTTTTGAGGCGTAGTCTCTTGTGCCGTTGAAGTTGCTGCTGTTTTTTCTTTATGTTTCATTTTCTTGCTCAAATGTGAATTCCAGTAATTCTTGATTTCATTATCAGTTCGTCCTGGAAGTCTCCCAGCAATCAATGACCACCTATAAAAAAAAATTAAAAAAAAATAGAACACATAAGATTAAATATGTCAATTTAATCATCTTAATTTTCTTTTGAATCATTAAGTAGAAGCAAATGAACTAATGTTGTCGTTTCCATAATGCTCATAGGTTGAGACAACTGTATTTAAACTACATTATGGTTTTTGTCACTTTGTATTATCACTAACCTGTTCCCAAGTAGCTTATGAAGCCTAAGTATCAAGTCCTCTTCTGCATCAGATATGTTGCCTCTCTTGATGTTTGGTCTCAGATAATTCAACCACCTCAATCTACAACTCTTCCCGCATCTGTTCAAGCCTGCAAGAACACGAATCAAAATTTAGAAAAATGCGGTTCATGAATTGTGTTAGAGCATAAAACTAGGATACATTGCCTGATTTAATTGCTACTGTTTTCCACTTCTCTGCACCATGGATTTCTACATACTGAGCTAGTTTTTGATCTTCCTCAGCTGTCCACGCCCCTTTGTTAAAGACATTTTTACTACTACTAGATCCTTCGTTCTTCCGAGCCATATTGTACACACAGGGAGATAGATGTATATGCTGTAAGGGTGTGTGTGTGTGTGTGTGTGTGTGTGTGAGAGAGAGAGAGAGAGAGAGAGTCAGTTTGTTTGAAACTTTGATGTTTGAGTAAATGAGAGTAAGTCAGCGGGGATTAAAATATGGGCTCCCAGGGAGGGTAAAGAAAGAACCTCCTCAACTACCTTACACACACACAGTGTTTGAGAATGGGAAGTAGACTGTAAGAGGGCAAGTAAGTTGAGTTTGTCTCAAGATTCAAATCATTTGAAGAGAGGAAAGAAATATGCTTCCAATCATTGGGCCCTTTTGGCATGCGAGTTTTGTTTGGGTAGAAATTATAACCATGCATGTTTGATAACAAATATTTGCTTCAGTTTTAACGGTACAATTACTAAACACATAATATTATCAATTTGGTAATACAAAAAATTTTGATATGTTATGAACTATTCAAAATCAATGTCAACTGTTTTAAACATGATATGAACTCAAATTTAAAAACTAATATCAAAAAAATAATATCAAAGGTGCCTAAAGTTTCCCTTACTTGTTCTTGTTGTTCTTGATTTGCTCACCCATGTATGGTTGGATCATCGTGTCTTACCAAATGGGCACAACTTGTATTGATTGATATGCAAGGTTTTGAAGTTTGAAACTTCACTCAATTTGAACTTTATATAAATTTTTTAAAAAATTCGAATATTTGTAACAAAAGTTTAAGATATGCATGGTTCAGTTTTATAAAAGTAATTTTAAAAAAATAATTTTAAAAAAAAAATTATAAAAACAGTTATTAAGAACTATCAAATGGACACAAGCTATAATTGTGTTTTTAGAAAATATTTTTTAAATTCTAAAAAAAATTAAAAAAAAAAAAAAATTATTCTCAGAAAACAGAACCAATTGTTTCTTTTTTCTTTTTAAATTTTTGTCTAACATTACTACAGTATTGGATGGAAAATTAAGTAGTTATAAATCTGACTTCGACATTACATGAATGAATACTCATTTTTTTAACGGAAAAATAAGGTGTTATAAATCTGACTTCGACGTTACATGAATGAATACTCATTATCTTTGCGTACATTTCACAATTATTGATTTTAACTTTAGAGTGCACCAATGATTACTACTTTTGCTGAATAACACCAAAATACCCATTTTTACAATCCAGAATTTTCCATTCTCGTCAAATATTTTAATATTTGGTTGAATTGTTTATCCAGTTTATTCTGCTTCGAATTTACGGAGTAATTGTTTGGTTGAATCAAATTTTTATCATTTTTTTACTGGGACAAAATTAATATGCCATTCAGCACAAGTGGGACCGTGGTACAATTTGACCCAGAATGTTGTCTGTCCCATCACTTGTCCTTTTCTCCAATAAAATAGCAGTAGAAAGAGGTCAAATTTATTTTCCTTCGATGTAACAGAATACAGTAGTAATTATAATGCTAATTATTATTATTATTATTATTACTCCCTCCCTTTCACAATAGAGGTTCATATTTAAAAATTAAAATTTTTAAGGGATATGCAATTAATGCATTATTCATTTTAAAATTATCAAATTATTCTTTTTAATTTAAATATATATGTTACAAAGTTTAAAATTTTTTAAAAGATAAAGGATCATGAAAATATAAAAAAAATATGTTTCGACTTTTCAAAGACAAATAATTTGGGACATGTAAAAATGAAATAATGGACTACTAATATGGGACGCAGGGAGTATTGGTTTTGAGGAATATTATATTATAATGCTGATCATATTATTATTACCTCCGTCCCATATTAAAGGTCCATTTTTAGAAATAGGAGTTTTTAAGGAGACATGCATTTAATGCATTGTCCCCTTTTAAAATTATTAATTTGTCCCTTCTAATTTAAATATATATAATTATAAAGTTTGAAAATTTTTAAAAAGGTAAAGGACAATAGTAGAAATATAGAGTTTATTTGTTTTAATTTTTTAAAGAGGACAACTAATTTGAGACCTTTAAAAAGAAAAAAATGGACAACTAATATGAGACAAAAAGAATAATACTATTGACCGTTGGTGAATCTCTCACTCTCTTTAGGATTTTTTTGTCGAAAGTTCCCTCCGCTAACATAATTTTTTGAAACGGCCCGACTTATGATGAACCCTTCAAAACTGCCAAAGTACTACTTATGCGTTCTAACCATTATCTTAATAACACAAAACAATTTCTTTCAGTATTTTAATTACTCTTGAGTCATATCAAAGGAAGTTGGATGATAGTCACTTAAAATTCATGCATCATTGGAATGATTTGTCCAGTTATTGAATAATAATTCTTTAACTGAATGATTTGTTCTGTGAATTGAAGAATAATTCTTCAACTGCTCCATGAATTTGGACTAATCTCAACTTTTCAGAAAATTAATCTATGATATTTAATAATATATGCATAGCTTTCCACGATTCTTAAGAAATTCTTTCTACGTTACATGTCTTATAATATTTTCTTATTATAAAAAGAATCTAATAGATATTTTTTTGGGAAACTAAGAATCTAATAGATTATTTATAAACAAAAGTACTCTGTGAATGAGAAAATTTAAGGGGGTACTTTCCATATTTTTATTAAAAAATATATATATTATTATAATATATATATATAAAATATAAGAGAGAGAGAAAATCCAGGGGGAACACGTGCCCTCCTGGTCCTTAACTGGCTCCGTTCTTGAATTTGGCAATGGAAGGTGGTGGTGATGGAAGGGAGCGATATAAGTGTTTGGTGACACATTATAATAAATATTTTTCTTAATTAAATTATTTTTTAATTTATTTGGTAACAATTTTCTTAAAACACTTCTTTTGCTAATTTTACAATAATATCCTTTAATATGATGTTATCATATTTAATAATAACAATTTTATTAAGGAAATGGTGTAATTGTGATTATAGAAAATAAAATGGACAAATTTGTCTAATGAAAAAGAGTTGCCCAATCCAATTTCATAAGTTACAAATCTACTCAACTAGATTTGGCATCAATTTAAAGTGCTTCTTATGGTTACTAAACACATCTAAATGCAATTTTTTAAAATAAAAACGTTTAAGCTAGATAAGCAATCCCAAACCGGCTCTATCTATGCATTTGTGATTAGACTACGTCAACGGTGGGTGGAGATTACTCGTCTGTAAATAAGTAAAATACTATTTGATAACTTAATTCAGTGTTTAATTCTGAAATGATTAAGCGCTTATTTAATTAAGTGTATTTGGTAACGCAATTTGAATATTATTGAAAACGATAAGCACCGCTTAAAATTGGATAAAATTTTAAGTGACAGAGATATTACTTATTACTTAATGCTGAACGCTTAAAATTTTAAAAAACATAATAATAATAATAATAATAAATTTATTTTTTATTTATTGCTTAAAAATTTGAATACTTAAAATTCAGCTCTTAAAAATTTCAATACTTAATTTTAAAGTATTATTTTTTTTTGTTCATCTTATATATGGTCAAAAATCGTCTTATAATTTTTCATGTATACTTTTAGAATCTTCCACTTTAATCTCCTCATACCACGTGTACACAAATAGAACCTTCCACTTTCAAAGGTGCAAAAAAGTCACTACCAGAAAAGTTCATTGAAATTACCAAAAATGGAGAAACACTAGAAGGATTTATTCATCTTCTTAAGTTAGGATGTCTCAATCTTCTTGGGGTTTGATAGGAGATGGGTGGATATGCTGATGGATTGTATTACTTCTGTTTCTTACTTTGTTCTCATTAATGGGGAAATGGGCGATACGTTTTCTCCTTTTAGAGGTCTGAGACAAGATGACCCTTTGTAACCTTATCTTTTTCTTTTCTGCACCGAAGGCCTTTCAACCCTGTTCCACGAGTCTTTACATAGAAAACAACTCTTTGGCCTTAAGATGGGGAAATGTTGTCCTTCTATTTCACACTTATTATTTGCCAATGATGCTCTCATTTTTTGTAAGGCTAAGGATCTAGAGGTAGGGAGGGTGAAATCTCTTCTTGACAGATATGAAGCTTTAACTGGTCAATTTATTAACCTGGATAAATCTTGTTTGTATTTTTCTCCAAATACCTCTTTACCTCAAAGGGCTCAATCCAGTTCTTCTCTAGGGACATGGTTTGATTTCATTTCTGAAAGAGTCTCTTCCAAAACCAAATCTCTCAAAGGTAATTTACTTTCCAAAGCCAGCAGAGAAGTTCTGATTAAGGCTGTTCTTTCAGCTCTCCCAACTTATGCAATGCAGTGTTTCAGACTCCCCAAGACCAATTGCAATGTCTTAACCAGTAAATTTCTAAATTTTTGGTGGAGCGGTGAAGAGAAATCTAACAAGATAAAGTGGATCAGTTGGGACACCCTTTGTAAATCTAAAAGAAATGGTGGCATTAGTTTCAAAAATGTTGAAGCATTCAACTTGGCTCTTCTGGCTAAAATGGCTTGCAGGATGGAGGTTGGTGATGGGTCTCTGTTGTATAAATGTTTTAAAACGAAATATTTTAAGAATTGTAACTTTTTGGAGGCCCCCAATAGAGTAAATGCTTCTTGAGTTTGGAAGAGTATTCTTTCACCGAAGGAGGTTATTAAAAGAGGCATGAAGTGGCGCACTGGTGATGGTTCAGCGATTAACTGCTGGGTTGATAATTGGCTTCCAGATAGGTCCAACCTTGCTATGAGTTCAAGAAAACTGGGCGCTATTTTCTCTTCTGTGGCAGATTTGATCATCCCATCAACCCATCAGTGGAATTCATCCTTAGTACGTCAACACTTTAATCGGCGTGACAGTAATCTAATTTTACAGATTCCTTTAAGTGTGTATGGCATGGCTGATTTTAAAGTTTGGGTCTCTCTACAGATGGTCAGTTTTCGGTAAAGAGTGCTTATCATGTTGCTCTCTCAATTCTTAATAATTTTCATGTTTCCCAATCTGATGTAGGTAGTAGTTCTGATGCCCGTAAAAGCACGATTTGGAAAGATGTGTGGCATATTTAGGCGTATAGAAAAATTAAAATTTTTATGTGGTAATGTCTTCATGAGCGGCTGCCAGTAAACAACCAGCTCAGTTCTCGTGGGGTTACAGAG